AGGCCGAGGCGGGCGGATTGCTCAAGGTCAGGAGTTCAAAACCAGCCTGAGCAAGAGCGAGACCCCGTCTCTACTATAAATAGAAAGAAATTAATTGGCCAACTGATATATATATATAAAAAATTAGCCGGGCATGGTGGCGCATGCCTGTAGTCCCAGCTACTCCGGAGGCTGAGGCAGAAGGATCACTCGAGCCCAGGAGTTTGAGGTTGCTGTGAGCTAGGCTGACGCCATGGCACTCACTCTAGCCTGGGCAACAAAGCGAGACTCTGTCTCAAAAAAAAAAAAAAAAAAAGACTGCCCTAAAGTGAGATTGACATTACTCAACACTTCTTACATTCCTTCAAGGAGAATGGAGTTACATGGCCGTCCAACTACAAGGGAGGCTGGGAAATGTAGTCCCTTAAGAAAGGCAGCGAAGGAGAGAATAGATTTTGGTGCATAGCTAGTGGCTCTGCCACAGGCAGTATTGTTGTACATTTGTTTAATTTCACATTTGAAAAAAATGTTAGCACATTAATCTTATTTAAAATGAATTACTTGTCTTTGAATGTGTCACAGGCATTTGCCAAGTGGGCATACCTCTCTAGTTAGTGGCAGATCGAAAATGGAAATGAGATCTTCTGACGCCCCTGCCAAAGCTCTTTCTACTTAACGCAAGACTTACTTTACTTTGAAAAGTTAATGAAGTATGAGCTTTTTTCACTGAAGATAAGCTCTATTGGAAACATCTCTGTCTGGTGAGATGTTGAAGCCTTTTTGAGAGAGAAAGAGAGAGAGACAGACTTATTTCTATAGAGTAGAGGGTTAATTTAATTTGAGAAAATGGGTGTCTAGTCAGTTGGTAGAAGCAGCCTGCAGAATGTAGACCATATTGCCGGCATAATTATTTTAGATGCTAACAAATGAGAGAACATTTTGATAACTATGAAAATCTCTCAGATTTTAGTTAACGATGGGACATCATTCCATGAATTCCACATTTAATGGGCCTCCATTAAAATATCCCTTCTTTAGTCTTCAGATACTTGTATATCAGCTGCGACTGAGCAAATTTTTTTTTCTTAGTGAATTTGGACAGGTAATGTGGATAACTTAGGTTTTCAAATACTATAGTTTCTCTTTGCTTAAATTAGCCAGATAAATACCCGAATCTCTGTTTCCATTTGCCATTGTAGTCAGAGCTACAGACACATGCGATTTATAATGGTAGAGGAAACTCTTGGTTATTTCATCCAACTTTTTATTTCAGAACATGAAGAATACATATAATTTACAACTCCTTTAGAAACCATATTGTCACAAATTTATATCCTTTTATTAAAGATCCATCTCATACATGGTTCTTACAAAACATTTCTCCAGACCTCTACACACCTTTTCGTAAGGGTACAGGATGATGTGTTTAAATATCTGTAAGGAATCATAGATTTTATCATGCCTGATTGCAGAAGGCGATCTCTCTCCTGGAACTGACAGTCTGCATCCGCCTAACTCTGATATTTTTCTCTACTGCTTTTAAACTGAGGAGGAACGCCTGACGCAGGGCTGCCGTAACATCAGCGGCATGCAGGGCAGGCTGCTGGAGAGCATGTGTCATCAGCATCACCCCTGCTAGGGGATGCAAGCCATTCACCATGTGTGGACACGATTCACCACGTGAGTCCCCCACAGGGACAGCAAGCAGGAAAGAAACAAATCTCACTCTTCCTAAACAAATGTACAGAACTGTTATATTATTCATGGGAAGACTTATTGCATGTTTATTGACTTTTGAGTGAAAGAAATGAGGTAATAGAGTTATTAAAAAGTCACAAACACCCCGCACGTGCGCCTCAGGTGGTCTTCTCTGCAAATGGGCTCCGTGTGGCACCCCCCACCCCCCAAGCCAGCTGTGAGCCCACACTGAGGCTGCCTGGGTTCCTGGCTTCCCTTCCAGCCTCAGCTCCTGGGGAGTGCCGGGTGACCCAGGGCAAGCCATCCGCCACCATCCGGAGCTGCCCAAGGCTGACCCAGGTCACTGGTGGGCCAGCTTCTTTTTCGAGAAGTCCACTTTCCTGTTCATGGCCATGGTTGTGGAGTCCTCAGAGCACTCGGAAGCCCCCCAGGCCACCAGAAGCATGACCACCTGTGGCCTGGCCTAGGAAGCCGAGAGGAAGCAGCCCTGTGGCCAGCCCAGCACAGCCAGTGCTAGGTCCCTGTCCTGACCCGAGCCGCTACCACCAGCCCAGGCTCGGGGTGGCAGAGCCCTGCCTGCCCTGTAGACCAGACTGTAGCAAGCAGGAAAGAAGTCGTGTTGGTTGGTGGCAACTCAGCAGACACCAACAGGAAGTCAAGCAAGCCCTGCTCTTCCCTGACCAAGCACGCACGAGCTTTCCTGACACCTGGTAACTCCTCGCCTGGCACCAAGTGAAAAATAAACTCCCATCAGCCAGCAAAACAAACAAACAAAATTTTAAAAAAATGCACCCTTTTGGTCAGTTGCCAGGATGAATTATTGGTATCAGGAAAGTACTAACTGATTTTTCAATGGGAAAACCTTTGTGATACTGGTGCATGGAATTTAAAAATTAGAATTATGGTTTTCAGTAAGTGATCCACTTCCTTCATCTGGATCTGCCTATCATTATGGGGTATCATTTCTTGACTATCGAGGGTCCTAACAAGCAAGGTATTGAAATAAAGTAGACTTAGAATTCAAATATTCAAAAGAGTAGGTTTAGGGGGGAGAATCGTCATTAAATATAAAGTGAGGCATTATACTAGAGGGAAACCTGACAAAATTTCTCTAATAGGCAAATGTTACCCTTTGTTAGTTGCATATTCTGTGCCAAGTTACTAAGCAAACAGTAGAAGAACAAAAGCCATTTGGAGAAATCTGGCTGAACTATCCACTGGGTAATTTAGGCTGGCTTACTTTCCACTTGCGACACAGATATAAGCTTCATCATACACAGAAACATTGAAATGGTTAAATGTGCAAAAGAAATCTGTGACAGATTATAAAATCAGCTTGTCTCAGTTGAAGCAATTAAAGCCCTTAAAATTGCATCTGTATCTGAAGTGGTGCAGAAAGTGCCAATGGTTTAAAATAATTCTTTTGAAATGAACATGTTTAAATGTAATTCATTTTTAGAATATTAAATTTATGAAATAATTCCTAAGGATTTGGTATTGGGAAAAGACTCCAGACCCACATATCCAACTGCCTACCATCCATTCTAATTAAATATCACAGACATACTGTGATGTAAGCATGTTCAAGACTGAACCAGATCAGTCTTGGTTGTGGTTTCCCCCAGATCTGGTTTTCTGTCAGTGTTTCCTATCACAGGAAATGGCTGGTTTTAAATCTATGATGAAAAATATCAAGGGAGCCATTGAATGAAAGTGGAAAGGCAGAGGGGGAAAATATGGATATGTGTGAGAGATGTGCATCAACTTTGGCCATGTTGAGTGAAGCTGGGACAGTTAGGCAAGTGTGGACAGTTGGAGTTAAGACTTTGGGGAGATGGATCTGGGGTGGAGATGTGGATTTGGGAGTCATTTACAGGGAGGTGATGAAATTCAGGAAGACAAAAGAGCATTTGAGAGGGAAATAAAAAAGATTGAAGGGAAAGGAACCAGAGAATTACGTTGTGTATCACAAAATCAAAGGGAGTTTAGTAAGAAAAGGGCGGTGTCAAGAATCCCAATTGAAGAGGAATGAATGAAGTCACTGGATTTGATGACCTTTGACAGTTTCAGTTGCTAATGTCATGAGTTCTCAGCTTTCTCATCTTTAAAATGAGAGGATTCCCTAGATACACTCTAATTTAGAGAGTAGACATTTTCAGTGAATGAAAGAACAAATTAATAAAACTACATGCATTTCCTATCAGTTCCATAGATAGGGATATGTGGTTAGAATTGACTCCCCACTTCAAGATATCCTGCTATGAAACGAATATTATCATAATAGATTTTCTAAGAGGAAAGTATCAAGAAAAGGATTTACAAGGCAACAAAGACTTACCTCTTTCAAATTATCATTTTTATCTTGTAATACTACAACATAAAGAGATATAGGAGACTCTTGGCACTTAATCTTTTGACAGTGATTTTCATTTTGACTTTTTGTGAATGTATATGATGTGCAATTCTGCTAAGTATGGATTTATTTTTTAATTTTTTTTAAATTTATTTTTTCTTTATTTTTTTTTTTTACTGTCAATCTCCTTTGAGATTAAGGTATGGGTTTCCCAATTCTTTGGCAATATTTATTAGGCCATAGTATTGGTAACACTGGAATTCAAAAGGTACAAGAAACAGAGTATATTGGATGTGCAGCACTGTTTTTGGCAATTGTTTATACATTGCCAAAGTTTTTTCAACAAATTCAACCTACTCTTAAGTCATATAAGAAGGTAACTTAAGGCATACAGGGATGGTAAAGTAATTGTTTGACTCTCAAGTTCAGATCTTCAATACCAATGGTGAAACATTTTGAAAGACTGATATCAAGACCAAGGCAAGCTGACAGATTTTAAGAATTTCGAGTGGATTTATTTCTCAATATAAAATCACTGCTATATAATGGCTGTGTAATATGTCCTTTTAAAGTCTTTTCTTCCCAGTTAATATCTTTTCCTCTAGAATTTTATCTATAAATTTATTATGTTACTTAGATTTATGTTATAGATTTATAATATATATTATACTTCTAAAATCATTTGTTTTAGGGGATGTTTACATTAACAAAGATCTATGAGGAGGATTTTCTCAGTGAAGAGGACTTGAACTATAAAACTGGGTTCTAGAGTTCACTGACAGTCATTCCAGTTGCAAAGGTTTTGTGTGATGCTATCTCAAAGAAGCAACCATTCATCAGGGAAGCCGATGGCAGGCTGGATAAATTCTCTGATGCAACCAGAAGGATTCAGCTGCCTTTTCTAAATCTGATATATGAGCAAGTGGCAAATCAAAGTGGAAAAAAAAAATAATTTTGACACCCAGAGTTGATCAGAGTATTTAAACAATTAGAATTTTACTTTATTTCAGAATAAGTTTACAGTTGAAAAATGATATTTACTAAAGCCACAACATCATTCATACAGACAAAACTTTTATAGCAAAACCTTGGTACATGAGCATTAATAATTTGAATACTATGTGGATATAGAAGATATTTAAAAAACGGAAATGATGTATTCCAAAGGCTGTAGTAGGCACAATATATATGCTTGTATTGGGTCTGCAAGCATTATAACTATAATTCATTAAATGTGATCCAAGAAGTTGCAGATTTTTCAGCACTATGTACTGAAAGATACAAAGGAATATCATAGTTACTCTTATGTTGAAAAGCTTGTACTATCAAGACTACAAAATAGGAGCAGCAAGCCAAACCAACAAACAATTGCTTAGGTTTTAGAAGAAGTTATACATCTATGGCTTTTTCATGTTCGTTGCTGAGAGTGGTTAGCAAGTCTGGCAGGTGGAAAAGAAGAAATAGTCTATAATAAAACATTAAAGACATAATTTACAAGGCATCTGATATTTAACATGTTCAATGTTGGAAAAACTTGAGCTTGATCTTAGAGCAAAATTGTGAGGTATTACATAGCCCTCCCGTCAATCTTCTGGCATAAGAATCTCCTATGCAGAAAAGTAAGAGTTTTCAAATGACATAGTGGAAAAATATTTAAGATGAATAATTAGAATTTACTTTTGATTTTCATAACTATAAAGAACATAGGTCTTCCAAGGACCAAGAAATTGCATTTGTTCCTTAGTATGGAATTTTCTTATGTTTTTTTAAAAGCGTGAGTTGAAATATGTATTCATGCTGACAGTGTACACACGCTGATAAAGGTGAACATATGGTAAAAATAAGAAAAAAATGTCATACATTTTTCAGGGCACACTACTACTACATCATATTGAAATTATTCTAGAAGGTAAAAATGTACATCTTAGATTCTCAAAAGTTTTATTTTTCAACTAGCAATTAAATGTAAGTGTAAAAGTGAATCATGCAGCATTTTTACCTAGCAGTTACTATGTTCATGATATGAGGGGAACAGAATTCTTTTTTTCCCTTTAAATCTGTAATGCTCAGAAGTCATCGTGTGGAACTAAAATCACACAAAGGCAAATCATGAAGAAACGTTAAATATTTCAAAATGCCCACGAAAGCGTGCCAGAAACGATGCTGTTTCTTACAGCACAGGATTGTTGGAGGCTAAAACTAAAGCAGTAGAGCCACTGCAACTTCTAGCTCTTCAATGCTGCTTTTTTGTTTGTTTGATAGAGGAGATTCAGGTGAGGGGTCCGGTCTCTCGGGACGCTAGCCCATAATTTCTGCAGGTTCAGTGACCAACTTGGATCCATCCCATGCCGTCTTGAACTGCTCGGGAACGGGAAATTCTCTCTGAAACAAGGCAAGAACAAAGTTATTTAGACTAAGGCTTCCTTTTGCAAACAGATGGGAGGCTGATTTGTGCCACATGGTGGGCAAAGAAACTCAGTCGAACTCAAAGCCGCACCAGGGAGAGGTATTTGTCACATGAAGACTCAAATATGTCGTGTGTCAGTTGTGTGACTGCATTCCAGTGTCATCATTCAAGCTAGCATTTACTGAGAACCAGGCATTCTTCCAAGCACTAGACACAGATGAACTCGACTCATCTCCCACGACAACCCCGTGAGCTGGGTGTCACTGTGATGCCATCTATGGGAAACAGAGGCCCGAGAGGTTAAGCAGCTGGCCCAAGATGACACGGCTAGTAAGCAGAGCAGCCAGAATTCAAACGGAGGCAGTCTCTCTTACCCACCACGCTCCACCAAACCACAACATGCACACGAATCAACCAGGGATCTTATTAAAATGCAGATTTTGATTCAGCAGGTCTGGGGAAAGGGGTGAGAATCTGAATTTCCTACATGCTCCCAGGCGATGCCAACTCTGCTGGTCCCTACAGCTAGAGCAGAAAGGCTTCTCTCTACTCTTTGACGAATTATAAAATCGGGCTTAGGGTTGAACACACATTTGTTATGCTTCACCATGCCACCCTACTCTTCCCATTGGGAAATATACACACGCACATGAAGGAAAATACAGAATAAATAGCCAAAATAAAAGTCGTCTGGATTCTCTCCCTTCCTTGAGAGTGATTCTCCAGTTATTTCAGAAGAGGACCAAAGAGGAGGGCCAGGAGCCTTGTCCCCGGCTTAGGGAGTCTCCCGGGACTTATTTTCCGTGCGGCGCTTGCCGAGACCCCTGCATCTGACCAGCCGATGTACCGACATCATGAGAAGTGATGTGTCAATGGGACACACATGCCACTCGGTATCTTCCTAGATGTAGGATCCAGCTGTTTCTTTGGAAAGAAGTGACTTATTTATTTTAAAGGTGAAGCCCCCTGCTATCATGAGTAATGAATTCTCCTTGAGTGAGATCTGTGATGGAAAGATCTTAAAAGGAAGTAAAAAAGCCACGATCTCAATAACCTAATGTGCCCGTGTCAGTGTAGACAATACTTCCCTTCTGGGGCTCTCCTTGACGAGGAAATGAAGCTTGGTGTTTGTTCTTAATTCACAGGCCAAGTAGAGAGTGCTCCAGAGCGAACGCACCTCTGTGACCGTTTCTGCACGACAGCTGCCCCGATCTTCTTTTTGGCAGAGAGGTGGCAGTAATAGGATGACGGATCTTCTCCGGGAGGCTGACTTCTTTCAGGATGAAGCATGCACACCATCCATTCCCACATTACAATGCCCATGGCAGGTCCTCTGTATTGTTCCCTGCCTCCTTCAACTGAAAACGCATAAAGAGGGCCAGGGACCGAGGCCACAGCTAATTTATCTACAGAGGCAAGAGCTCACTTTCTCAGCACAAAAGCTCAGGTTTTGATCTCTACTCAGCCTTCAGGCCAGTGGATCTCAGTGTTGGCGCCACACCGGAACCACCTGGGAAGCTTGGTCCCACACCCAGGGGTTGTGGCATCATCATTCCGGCGTGCTCACCCACGTCCCAGTGCTGTCTCAGCACATCCAGTGCCACGCAGCTGAGCCTTCTGCTCAAACAGCTGCCAAGGCCAGGGCTCACCCCAATCTTTGGCTCTCCCATGCTGAAGCTGTTCTATATTGGCTTGAGCTCTTCAGTAGTTGTTGTTTTAGGCAGAGAGCTCAATAAGGGACTTTTTTCTAGCTCGGGTATTCTTTTTTTTTTTTTTTAGACAGAGTCTCACTTTGTTGCCCAGACTAGAGTGAGTGCCCTGGTGTCAGCCTAGCTCACAGCAACCTCAAACTCCTGGGCTCAAGCAATCCTGCTGCCTCAGCCTCCCGAGTAGCTGGGACTACAGGCATGCGCCACCATCCCCGGCTCATTTTTTCTATATATATTAGTTGGCCAATTAATTTCTATCTATTTATGGTAGAGACGGGGTCTTGCTCTTGCTCAGGCTGGTTTCGAACTCTTGACCTCGAGCAATCCGCCTGCCTCGGCCTCCCAGAGTGCTAGGATTACAGGCGTGAGCCGCCGCGCCCCGCCTTGGGTATTCTTTTCTAGTTAGGCTGTCCCTATGCCTAGTAGTGAACCATGGCCAGAGGCTTGCAGAGTTTTGTTTTTTAAACTGAAATGATGGATTCTACGCTGCCGTAGATGGAATGTAGTTGGGCAGAGCTGAGGGACTTAGTGACGAGGAAGGGAGAACATGGCAGCAGGCCTGCTGTCTGCCTAAGGGGATCCCCCTGCGTGTTGACTGCTGTGCAGATGCAGGGGATAGACCCACAGGCTGGCAGGGGCCGTCTTCCAAAGGTGTGCCTGCTAAGTTAACGTTTTCTCCCGTCCTTCCCTGGTTCACTGGCTCCCTGCACAGTTAGACTCAGAGGGAATTATCTCTACTCATTTCCCTCCTTCTGAGTAGCAACAATGAGGAGATCCATCACACTTTGTGATTCAGAAAAATGTATTTATTTATACTCCCTTTTCAAGGTGCGAATAGGATACGTGCATGCTTCTTTTAGAGGCTGCTTTGTTGGGGAGAGGAAACAAGGAAAATAAACAGTGGCAAAACCACTTAGGCTATTGTTTCTCAGAAGAGCCGTAGGATGAACCGATGGCATTAGAATCACCTGGCATGCCTGTTAAAGATCCAGACTCCTGGGTCTCACTCCATCCAAGCCTCCTGAATCCAAGCTCCAGGTGCAGGGTTTGGGAGTTGGCCTTTCTATCAAGCTTCCTAGCTGATTCTTACCCTGAGCCTGAGAACCTTTGATTTAAGTACACCTGCACAAATAAGCCTGCTTATTGTCCCCTCACCTCCCTCCCATTTTTCCCCTAAAGCATTTCTCTCTCTTTCCTGTTTACCTCCACCAGAGCAAAGGAAAATATCTAGTCCTACATAGTGGGAACTCAGCCGCATGCTATGCTATTTGATAAAAGCTAGCCTAGTAAGGTAATTATTCATATATTGCCTTGAGAATCTCAAATCCAAAAGTGAGCAGTCAAGAAGAAAATGTTGGAAAAATTCTTATAGACATTGGTCTAGGCAAAGAATTTATGAAGAAGACCCCAAAAGCAATCACAGCAACAACAAAAACAAATAAATGGGACCTGATCAAATTAAAAAGCTTTTAAACAGCCAAGGAAACAATCATTGGAGTGAATAGACAACCTACAAAATGAGAGAAAATATTTGCATGGTATATATACTCCAATAAAGGGCTGATAACCAGAATCTATAAAGAACTCAAGCAAATCAGCAAGAGAAAAACCAAACAACCCCATTAAGAAGTAGGCAAAAGACATGAACGGAAACTTTTCAAAAGAAGATAGACTAATGGCCAACAAACATAAGAAAAAATGCACAACATCTCTAGTCATCAGGGAAATGCAAATCAACATCACAAGGTGTCACTTAACACCTCGTGAGAATGGCTTTTATCAAAAAGTCCCCAAATAGCAAATGCTGGTGTGGACGCAGAGAGATAGGAACACTCATACACTGGTGGTGGGACTGCAAACTAGTACAACCTCTATGGAAAGTAGTATGGAGATACCTCAAAGAACTAAAAGTAGATCTACCATTTGATCCAGCAATCCCGCTACTGGGTATCTCCCCAAAGAAAAAAAAAGCCATTTTATAAAAAAGACACTTGCACTCAAATGTTTATAGCAGCATAATTCACAACTGCAAAGATGTGGAAACAACCCAAGTGCCCATCAGTACAAGAGTGGATTAGTAAAATGTGGTATATGCATACCATGGAGTACTCATCAGCCATAAAAACATAGTGAACTAATACCTCTTGTATTAACCTGTATTGAAAAGGAGCCCATTCTTCTAAGTGAAGTATCACAAGAATGGAAAAACAAACACCCCATGTACTCACCATTAAACTGGAATGAACTGATCAACCACTTATGTGCACATATGGAAGTAACACTCATTGGAAATCAAGCAGGTAGGACTGGGGAGGAGGAGATGGGTACAATGCCCACTATGGGTGATGAGCACACTTATAACTTTTACTCAAATGGTACAAAAGCAATTTATGTAACCAAAACACTTGCACCCCTGTAAGATTCTGAAATAAAAAATAAAGATGGTAACAGGAAGGAAGAGACGTGGAAGGCAGCTCCCTGAATTCCTCTCCTGCCTGTGAATTACTCTACAAATAAAGCTCACGGGTTGGTAGTTGATTAATCAATCTCTAAGAATGTTAATAATGAAGGCTCAAGAAAAATTCCTGACAGGCTTTTGAAAGGTACTTACATAATCACCATCCTGAGGGATAAGTATATTCATTTCAGATGACTTAGCACTCACAATCTCACAGTCTAACGCATCTTCACTGAGGTATATGTGGCAACCTTCCGTCTTATTAATGGAAATTGTTGGCACTCTTCCCATTACCTAAAATAGGAAAAAAAAATCAGGGACCAAAGCAAAGGAATAAAGATCAAGATACCCTCAAATAAACACGATCTAGATTCTTCTTGGCTTTAAGCTTGGGCTTAAGCAAGCACTGGGATTCACTGGGCAGAGCTGGGGAGATTGGTTAGTGGCAAAGTCTCCAGGCTGAACAGGGTAGGTGTCATCTGGGGACAGAATGAAAGGACCACACAAGGGGATTCTCGAACCTCAGGGTCTTTTTCCTCAGACAAAACTAAGGGATTCATTTGGAAACAGCAGCTAGATGTTCAGTAAAAGCCTCACAGCCTAGTCAGTGGATTTGAAACATATATTTGATTTCACGATAAAACAAACAAGATGCATTGCTTTCATTTGCTCAAAATTTTAGTTCTGACAAATCTCTATAAAACTTAGATTATAACAAATGCTAATATTGCTATTTATGAGTAAAATTATTCTTGAGTAAAAACTGAGTAGATTTTTCCTGAACTTAACTAAAAATAAGTAAGAAACACTACTATTCTTTTAACCTAAGTCCTTTGCTGGATAAAAATCTCACTGGCTGAATTTGAGGCTTAACTGAGATGTGTGTCTAGGTATTTTGAAATGTATTCATTTCAAGAGCCAAAACTGGGGGCTTGGCTCAGGACACTCATTATATAGATAAACAGGACCATATACAAGAGGAGGCGATTCTCAGGTATTGTTTATAAATGTCTAAAGGCTATAAAAATTCTGATCAGTTTTAAATTTCTCTTCTAACAATCAGCAGTTTTCAGACACCACCCCAAAATCTCCATACGGGCAGACCGTTTCCCCAAAGACCATATTACAACTCTATAATTTTCCTTCTTCTAATGGTAATTAAAGCGATAAGGACATCTCCTTTTTCACCCTGAAGAAAAGGGTGGATTGCAAACCAAAGGAGCAACTCCTGTTGATGGTGCAAGTGTTGTAAAGAATTCCTTGGAGGGAGTCTACCCAGGTCACCCTGGTCTCTCTCTGTTTTCTCCCCTCTCTCCATAGAAACTGGACACTGAGTTGGAATTGAGTACCAATGCAAAAAAAAAAAAAAGGCAGAGGTAGTTCAAGGTCAGGTAAGCATAGAGCTCTGCCATAAATATAATAATATTAACACTGTACGTATATCTATATTTTAAGAATGTGTTAGCAGTAATGTTTCAGTAATTTCTATTTTAAAATTTTTGTTATTTTTTATTTTGAAGGCTGGATGAGGGACTGTTTTGGCAATTTCTAGATGATTAGTTTTTTTTATAATGATGAGGAGCAGTTACCTACTGACCAGAACTATAGAACACCAGGCTAGTAAAGGAAAAGGGGTAGTTAGTGAGTCTTAGGTGGTTTGTGTATGAGACAGAGTGGGAATACATTGTACTAATATGTTTTATTTATATTTATGTTATATATTGCTATATTATGTTAAAAATGCTGAAATACCTTATGGATTTGAAAAGACAATACAGGTTGAATATCCCTTATCTGAAATGCTTGGGACCAGACAGAGTGTTTTGGATTTGGGATTTTTTTCCAGATTTTGGAATATTTGCACATACATAACAAGATATCTTGGGGATGGCACCTCTACCCTTAAGCAACCACTCATCTATGTCCTGCATCTGTAAATTTGTCTTTTCTGAACATTTTATAGCAATAGAATGATAACGTGGTCACCTGTGTCTGGTTTCTTTCATGTAGCATGGTGTTTTTGAGGTTCATCTGTGTTGTAGTGTATAATAGCTTATTCCTTTCTTTCATTGCTGAATAGCTTTCCATTACATGAATAGACATTTTATTTTATTAGTTGATGATATCTGGGTTGCTCCTACATTTTTGCTGTTATGAATAAAGCTGTTATGAATATGAAAAAAAAGATACCTTGGGGATGGGATCCAAGTCTACACATGACATTCATTTATGTTTCAGGTATACCTTATGCACATAGGCTGAAGGTAATTTTATACATTTAAATAATTTTGTGCATGAAACAAAGTTTGTGTACATGAAGTCAGGTGTGAAATTTTTCACTTCTGGTGTCAGAAAGTTTCAGATTTTGGAGCATTTTGGATTTTCGGATTAGGGATGCTCCATACATAGCTGAATTGTAAGAATAGCTCTGGTATGTTAAGAATTAATTTCCATGGCACTTTGGTCAGTACTGCATTTGAGTATGTAGGAAACATGCCTTTCTTCCCTGGTAGAGCACCTTGAGGACAGAAGCTGTTTCCTATCAGGAGAGCTGGGCCAAATAACAGCTCCTCTACTGAGTGGTGGGTGACATGTGACCACGCCCAGGCCAACACTCTTACATTTAAGGCATGTTTCTGTATTAATATTGTTTTTCATGAATTTATTTCTCCATCAAATTTTAGAAATTTCCATTGTCTATGATAGCCTCTTCTCTCCCCCATAATTTATACTATTTTCCTAGGATAGTTTGCCAAAAATAGGATTAGTGGGGCAAATCATAAACTTTTGTCCATGCCCTTTTTTCCCTCCTTTCAATCTTTTAACAGCATTCTTGAGGTAAAATCTGCAAACATAGAATTAACCCATTTTAAATGTACAGTCTAATGATATATAAAACCATTTTTCATTAAAAGTCCTTTTGAGATTTTGATGTTAAATAAATGGGACAGTTGATAGTGATGTCTTTCTGTCAATTTATTTGCATCTCTTTTGAGTTCTTCAGGAATATCTCTCATTTCTGTTGTTTAATTTTTTCCTAGGCACTTTACAGTTTTGTTGCTATTTTAATCTTATTTTCTATTACATTTTCTAAAACTTATTTGTGGTATAAAGAAACGCTATTGATTTTTGCATGTTCATTATTGTATCCAACCTTCTCGCTGGTTGTTTCTGGAGTTTTATAGTTTGTTGAATATCTTGGATTTTATATAAAAGCAATCAGTTTGTTGGCAAATAGGGACATTTTTATCTCTTCCTTTTCCAATATTATAGCTCTCAATTATTTTTCTTATTGCATAGGTTAGAATCTTTAACACATTATTGAACAGAAGCAATGACAGAAGGGATTCTCTTCTTGTTTCTGACTTTAATGGGAATTCTTCAAAAGTTTCAAATAAAGTATAACTTTTGCTGTAGGATTTTGATACTTTTAATTCAGTTATAGAATGTAGTATATTGTCTGATTTTTTCTAGGATTATCAGATATGGATATATCTATGTGTATATATGTATTTATATGCATGCGTTTAGAAAAATGAAATCATGCTTTACATAATGGTATAAAACTGTTCTTTCCTCTTTCTTTTTTTTTTTTGGTAGAGACAGAGTCTCATTACGTTCTCCAGGCTGGTCTTGAACTCCTGGACTCACGCAATCACGCAATCTTCCTACCTTAGCCTCCCAAAGTGCTGGGATTACAGGCGTGAACCACTGTGCCCAGCCCAGAAGTTTGAAATTTTTGAGTAGACATATTTATCTACCTTTTTTGAAAATTTCTTCCATTCTTTCCCAATTTAGAATTTTTTTCTTACTTCAGAAATCTGAAGAATATTTAGAACTTCTACTTTCCCCATGGTTTCATGTTTTATATTTAATTCATCTGATTTTGTATTTTGTATGTGATGTACTTACAGTAAAAAAATAATGCTTACTCCTTATATATGGTTTCATAATTGCTACTCAATCCCAGTTCTGTAAGAATAAAAGGGAGCTTGAAATAAAATCTCTAAAATTAAGGTGTGTGTGTTAAATTAGATTGTTTCCAAGATACTTTTCAATTGTAACACTATGATTACATGATTATGGCTAAATATACATCTCTGCCATAAAATATTACTTCATGGTTATTTCTAGTCTTTTGTGTTTTTTTAAATTAAAAAATAATGTGAAGTGGGAGAAAGCCTGGATCTTTATATAGGAACTCCCACCATTCAAAACGGCTCTTCAGAGAGTGTGGACTCATAATGAGCTGTGATCATCCTTGTTTTTTTTCTGATGATGAGTGATTTCCTTAAAGTTTTCATGCATAATACCTTGGGAAAAGTAGTATTATTAAATGGATAAATGTGGTGATCAGAAATACTATAAGCTTCATGTGGGTAAGAATTTTTGTCTCATTTGCTCACTGCTATTTCTAGTGCTAAGAACAGTATGTGGCATGTTCAACAAAAATATATGAAAGGATGAACAAATGAATGAAGGCATGTTTTAATTTAGAGTGTGCCCCGAGGGTGATCAAGTTTCCCTGTTTGCAGAGTGAAGGTAATAATAGGATATATGTCTGTGGGAAATCATTTGGTTGTTTTCTTTTAAATGGTCTTCCATCAAGGAATGGAATTCATGAAAAAGTAGAGGCAGAAAGGTCAAGAAGAAGAGGATTTACGTAGAGGCACTGAAGAGAACATATGGAACTAGAACTGAATATTTATGTATAAGAAACAAATGCATCCATAGAGATTCTGTGGCAAGAGTGCTTAGAATCTGGGCTGGAGAGGACCTTAAAATCACCCAGTTGGACCAGGCGTGGTGGCTCACGCCTATAATCCTAGCACTTTGGAAGGCCGAGGCAGGAGGATCGCTCAAGGTCAGGAGTTCAAAACCAGCCTGAGCAAGAGTGAGACCAAGTCTCTACTATAAATAGAAAGAAATTAATTGGCCAACTAAAAATATATAGAAAAAATTAGCTGGGCATGGTGGCGCATGCCTGTAGTTCCAGCTACTTGGGAGGATGAGGCAGCAGGATTGCTTGAGCCCAGAAGTTTGAGGTTGCTGTGAGCTAGGCCGATGCCCTGGCACTCTAGCCCTGGCAACAGAGTAAGACTCTGTCTCAAAAAAAAAAAAAAAAAAAAAAAAATCACATAGCTGACTTTCCTCTGCTTCAGGACAGGGGACTCGGCACAGAGATGAATTGCCCAAGTGCACATCCAGGTGAGGGTGGGGCTGGCTCCAGCGTCCAGGCCTCACAATGCCCAGTCAGGGTTATTTCCATTCAACAGACCAGCAAAAACAACTTCTTAAATGACAGTTTGCAAAGTGTAAAATGTATAATCAAGTGTACTCTGGTTAAAAGTGTCAGTTGTGAAAAGCCCAGTAAAGCAAAAGAGAAAGATCTATATAACCAGACTCCAATGTAACAACCACTATTTAAAAATATCAGATGGTATTCCATTGTATACATATACCAAAGGAAAAAAAAAATATCAGATGGTAAAGAGTAATTAAGAATGTGAAAGGAGTGTAATCAAAGATAGAAGTTACAGTTGGCCAAGGGTAAGAACTCCTTTAGTTTTTGCTGTATTGTAAGATCCCATTTGGCTAAATCAAAATTACTAGAGGAATACAGATTTTCTTATGTTTTGCAAATTCAATTCCAATCCTACTTCCCAGGTTGTTTTTCTGATTATCTTACTGATTCTTTAGAAAAAACTTTTCTTCTTTCTTACTCTTACCTGGGACCAATTTATTCCTCTGGGGGAAAAATGTTCTCTTTGGGGTGGTGTTATTATGCTGGGAGAAACTCTTAGTATTTTTATTCATGCATTCACTGATTCATTCCAATCATGCACTCATCAAACATTTATTGGATGCCTAGTATGCACAGGTGCTGTGCACATTTCTGGGGCTGTAAAGATATAGTTAGCTGAGCTAGAAACAGAGACGGTAAGCCAGTAAGTTATCGAAGCACACAATGGGGCGTATTATAAGAGATTGGAAAGGAGGAGCTAACACTGTCTAAGAAATAAGATAGGGCCTCACCACAGAGCTGTATTTAGAGGGAATGGGAATAGGCATTTTTTAGGTGGACATGGAGAAGGATGAGGCCTTCCTTGCAGGCAGAATGTATGGTCTGTGCAAAGCCAAGGTCAGGGCCAGAGTGTGGCCGGAAGGACCACTTACCTGGATTTGAATGTCCTTGGAGTTGATCACTTCTACAATGCCCACCACATTATCAAACACCAGGGCAAACTTCTTACAGTTGTCTAAAAAAAAAAAAAGAAGACCCAAAAACCAATTCCATTAAATACACATAGTATATTTATACAAAACAGCTCATCATATCAATTACAGAGCCATAGTTCTGCCCTACCGATTGTAATGGAGTTTACTTTCCCTTTTATCTGGAGAGTCGATTTGTCGCATTTGAAAATGTAAGCCACTTGTTTCAGCTCAGTTTCTGAAATCACGAGGTCATTTCTGTCCTCCTGGTACTCCTAAAATTAAATTGGATACAAATATTAAATTTAAAAATATATAAAGCGAATCCACGGCACACTGAAATTACTATGGAGTTCAGCCTGAATTCCATCCGTGCGGTATGTTCTTTCTTTCAGAACCATCTCCTTTCAGATGAAAACACAGGTCTCACCCTGTCCTTGTAACAATGGGAACAGATGGAACCGCTGCTTAGAAGCGGGTCCATATCCCTTCGTAAACATCAGGTACCAGGCACCTGGCTAGCGGGTGGGGGCCTGAGCAGGGACGTGAGCGCTTTTTGTGGAGACATCGATGCTGAGTCTGGACTTGATGCTGTAGCCAGATCTGCCGTGTCAAACAGGAGTTGGGCAAACAGGCTGGTGAAGGGTCACGACAATGGTCTAAGCCCCAGGCCATGACAACCTTTCCAGGGACTTTGGTCCTTAATCTTTAGGGGAGCCCTCTGGATTGGCAGTGGACACCAGTTTTCACTCCCCTCGAAGCGTCTATGTCCTGCTTGCACACCTGGCGGTGGCAGGTGGCAGCTGCAAGGTGCAGTTACATCAGTGCCTCCATCTGCGGGACTGAATGAAACATCCCACAGCAGATCTGGATGGGGCACAGACTCCCTGGTTCCTTCCACGTGTTAATGGTTTCTCTCGCTGCTTGGTTAAAAGCTTACGGAAAGAGCAGTCACAATAAATAGAGACAGAGATTAGAATGCTAATTGCCAAGGGTTGGGGGAGGGGAATATTCTTTAATGGCACTGAATTTTGGTTCTGCAAGATGAAAGGAGTTCTGTGGATGGGTGGTGACGATGGTTGCACAACAATGTAAACGGACTTAATGCCAATGAACCGTACACTTAAACTTGGTTAATGGTCAATTTCATGTTATATGCATCTTACCACCACTGGAAAATATTTTTTAAAGTTGAAGAAAAGAATGACAACTAGTGAAAACAAATAAAGCCTATGGAAGCATTCAGAAACGCCCTGGTGTGTATTCTGGTGAGTGGTTTTTGCCTTCACTTCTTAAGACCTTAAATCCTTAAGACCTTGGTAAATGGTTTAGCGGTTGACCCTTTTGTTGGAGCGAGTCAGGGATAAAGGTTAAAGGGCGTCACTCACCACTCTCCATTTCTTTCCTTCCAGCTCGAACACAGGATCGTGCTTCTGAGAAGGGTGAGATTTGGGAGATGTGGGACTTGGAGTGTGGCTTTTGGTTGGAGAGCGCGCTTGCCCTCCTTGAGCCCGCAGGCCGGGATTCTTGTATGTCTTCTGGTCATCTGTGACGTGCCGGAGGCCTAGGATAACACATATGGACATGATTTCCTTTGTACGCAAAGGGAAGTGTTCCTAACTTGTTAGATCGACATGAGGTAAAGAGCACAAAAACTTTTGGTAATGCTATTTTCAGAAAAGTCTAGTGCTTTCTCAAGGTTAGGATGCAGAGACCAAATCCTGTATAAGTTTTGAGTTGACCGAAGCACTCTAAGTATTTTTTAACTTGAGGAAGTGCTCCCTTCAGGAGATAAGATGATAGAAAACAATTCTATAAGGAGCAAACCGCCTCCCCAAAAAGGATCAAATTCTACAAAGAGCAAACTACCCCACCAAAAATTCTTTTCTTATGGCTAAAGCATTTGACAGACATAGCCTAAAACAGGCGTCCTCAAACCATGGCCCGCGGGCCACATGTGGGTGTTTTTGCCCATTTGTTTTTTTTACTTCAAAATAAGATATGTGCCGTGTGCATAGGAATTTGCTCATAGCTGTTTTTAAACTATAGTCCGGCCCTCCAACGGTCTGAAGGACAGTGAATTGGCCCCCTGTTTAAAAAGTTTGAGGACCCCTGGCCTAAAAGGTTAGGGCATTCCAGTGAGTATATATCAGACTATGCAATCAACTTTAGGGTCACAAGTCCAGTCCTTTACTTTGCAAATTAGTTTCAGAGGGGATAGTGAAGCCAGTTGGAATCAGAGACAAATTTAGAATTTCGGGTTCTGACCTCCCAGCTCAGTACAGAGGGACATTCCCACCCTAACTCCTATCACCTGTGCAGTGCAAAAATACACGTACACAAAGTTTCTGGCAACATGACTGTATTGTTTAGAATGCATGTGCTCCTGATCCTGATATATTTTAAATGTATGATTTTTTAAAAAATTAACCATTCATTATGAGAACAAAGATGAGTTCAATGACGTAATTCTTTGACAAGCCTGTGCACTGCTTCAGGACAGAGGTGCTAGTGTTTGCCATTTTTATTTCACTTGCTCTTGTTGCCTGGGTCGTAGAGGATGCTACAGAAGTTTCGGGGGCAGAAGTGATGATGCAGCACAGTGGTCGACTTAGAACCCAGAGTCTCTGAGTTCTTTCTGGTCTGTGCAGTGGCCTCCTGAGCCCGTCTGCCTGAAGCTGAAGAACACTGAGGCTCTTCCCATCCCGGCAGCAGCCTCCTCCCCGCTGTGTGCTGGGGACAGGATGGAATGATGTGTCCATCCCTGGGGCTCTGGGGCTCCTTGTGCCTGGAGCCAGAGGGAAAGAGAGGCAGCTTCAAGGTCTTGTTTTCTCACCTTTCGTGATCGCTTCTCCCTGGTTAAGCTGGGCGAATAATGCGGAGCGTGAAGGAGAGGACTCCTCTTTTCTGCCTTCATTCTCAAAAAGGGGAGGTGGCCCTGGAGGAGGTGGAGGAGGAGGGGGTGGCGGAAAGCCAGGCCCAGAGGAGAGGACTGAGAATGCCGATACGGCAGATGCTACAGGACCCTGTAGAGACAGAGACAGAGAGAGTTGCATTGAGACTTTGGTCATTGCTGGGATTTCGCCTGAGTGACTCAGAACCTACTGCCAATGAAGGAATAGGGCTCAGACCTCACCAAAGGCTCCCAGAGGGCACACCTGTGCATCATGGAGCTGTGCGGGAGGACCTGGACCAAGGGCTTGGGAACACGGAGCATGACTTAGCCATACTGCACTGTCAGTAGAATCTGCAGGGCCAGGAGCCTCACTGCCAAGTCGCAGGCAAACAAACCATGGTCACACGTTCATGTCTAAGGCTCAGATGTGAATGAAACTGGGCCTCGGCCAATTTATTATCATAGGAAAAGAGTGATCCAATTAATGGAACAATTAACTCTTTTGAGACAACGGAAACTACAACAACCGATGAGAGAGAAAAAGTGAGACAGGTGAAAAATATTCAATGGTTATTAGATGTTTTTGAAGCCATTTGAGCAGCTAAAAAGAAAGATACAGAAACTCTCTGGAACTCATTTTCCAATATGCATGCCTCCACCTGACCCTCAAACAAGGACCGTATGCGATCTGAATGCTTGTCAAACCCGAAGGTGATGAGGGCCCAGGACCCATTTGACGGTTCATCAAATGCTGGCTGTTAGTGACCAGCTGAAAATAAGATTCTTCCCGAGAAAGATCCAAACTTTTTCTTATTTTCTCTTTGTTTTCAATATGAAGGTCTAACAAATTCAAATAGCAACAAAAGGCAATGGACAAGAGAGGGATTTAATGTTCTAAAAGGACCCCATACATGACATTCTCAAAGAACTTAAAACTGGTAGGATAGAAACACACATACACAACAAACTTGGGATATATACCATTTTACTTTTAAACCCTCAAGAAGAACTGTATACCTATGAGGAATAATAATTCAATTATAAGCTACTTCAGTAGTCAGGAAACTTAAAAAATTTGATAGTGATGGAATTGTGACTTAGACATACATATTTTCAATACCAAAGACAAAAGGTAGAACATGACTGAAGTGCTGAATGTTAACAAATACAGCCTATCCTTATTGTGATAAACAACTCAGTATTATGAAGTATCAAAGTCAGAAAGTTTTAATCTGTAGTTTTCAGTTAAAAAAAAAAAACCCAAGCTATTTTCAAAGTACTTACATAATTCCTATTAAGTGCACAATCACGCTGAAAATAAAAGATGATTCTCTTATTCAGAATGCATGTCTTTAAAAACTCAGCAGGCTGGAAAGCTCATCTCTTGAAGATATAATTTGCCATGTTTTTTGTTTCTAAGGAAGAACCAGCCTGACTCCATGAGGGTTCTCAGGTAAAGTAGAAAAGGATTTCACAGTTCTTGAGACCGACCAATTTTTTCCCCCGTATCTTCAATGTTTTCTATTGTCACTTGGGTGAAATTTGAGAATTTGCTCTGAATCATAAAGACCGTATAATATAAGCTTTGTGCATCAAATAATATACCAGTCCTCAGTTACAGACACTGAGAACCACGAAGCATTACTTTTACTCACAAACCCGCCATAACTCATGTCGTTGGGGAAGGGACAGACCCCTCCCCCAACATCTGAAACTCGGCTGCTCTGAAGTCCTCCTATTTTGTGCAAAGGGGAGAAAGTGCTGGCTTCTGAATCTTAGAATGATTTCGATGTCTCCCTCGCTCTCAGAATTCAGAGCCTCTCTCCAAGAGCCCTTAAAGGACACTGAAAGGAATAAGCCTCATATTCAACTTTTTGGAACTTTGATACATTCAGATGGCTGACCCAGGAACACTAGACAAAGGATTTACTGCTGCAAATGTTGAAAATAAAAGCCCCAAAATCAGGACCCGTTGAAACTCTGCCTTGGACTAATCCTTTGTACGTCCTGCCTCGTTCCTGTATCAGCCCCAGGGAGTGCACAATACCAGGCTCTTGTTTCCAAGGTTACTTTTCAATTAGCATTCAGGGGCTTTACTGTACGGCGGACTCGAAATCAAACTGATTAGACATTCCCTTAACTGGATCTCCGTGGGCTGCCCCTTGCAGAGTAACTTATCTTTGCCTCTTTTTCCTCTTCTCTTTCTGTAGAATAGTACAGCACATGACACCAGAGCTTTCTGCATTCTCATATGTGCCTGGCCACTTGTGTCAGTCACACAGACTGGAGCCACAGCCTGACGCTAAGTCTTCAGGCGTCCCAATAAAAAATGGTTGGTCGGGGGTGGGAAGGAAGTGTATATATACATATCTACATATATGTAGCACATTTGGTTATTCCACTTATGAATTGATGGGCACTTAGGTTAATTCCATGTCACTGTGATTGCGAATTGTGCAGGGAAGGAAGTCAGGGACTGTGGAAAGTATAGTATGGACCAGGCTCTGAGCATTTGCATTCATTCATACATTCATTCATTCATTCAACAGATCAACAGATATTTAAAAAAAAAATTTTTTTTTTTTTGAGACAGGATCTTGCTCTGTCACCCAGGCTGGAGTGCAATGGCCCAATCATAGCCCACTGCAGCCTCAAACTCCTGGGCTCAAGCAATCCTCCTGCCTCAGCCTCCTGAAAAGCTGGGACTACAGGCATGCACCACCATGCCGGGTTAATCAATAGATATTTAATGCTTAGTATACGACAGGCTCTATGCTAGGAGTTCCCAAACTAGGAGTCTGAACATTAGAAGCATCTGGGGATCTGTTAAAAATCTCAAAGTCCAGGCCATGTTACAGAAATACTCCTTGGGGTGGGGTGGAGAGAGGGGACACAGGCATCTGTATTTTTTGAAGCTCCCCAGGTGATTCCAATGTGCAGACAAGTTTGGGAACAACCACCCTTTCCTATGTGCTGAGATTGATCTTAATCATCACGACAATATTGCTAGGACTGTATTGAAATTTGTCTTTAACAGAAAGTAAAGCAGGAAGTCAGACAGGCTGTTTACATTCATCATTAAATGGCCAGTCGATGGTAAAGACATCCGATCACATATCTGCCTGATTTTAAAGCCTTCTTCAGGGAAATCCTTTATGATATATTTAGACTTTTTTTTTTTTAAATAGTTGTTAGACAAATTAAAGAACCAGAGGTATGAGCTACTTTGACACATATGCAGTGCTGCTCTTGGGCCTGTGGCTAGAATATTTATGACTAAAGTATTGGGAGGTGGCACAATAATCTGGCTCTGTTTTTTTTAAAATTTCAAGCTATTAAGGGGGTACAAATGTTTTTGTTACATGGATAGCTTTTATAATGCTTAAGTCAGGGCTACTAGTGTGTCCATCACCCGAATAGTGTTCATTATACTTGTTAGGTAGGTTTTTATCCCTTCTCTCCTCCCTCCTGCCCCCTTCTTGATTTCCAATGACTTTCACTTCTCTCTGTGCCCATTGACTAGTTCCAAATTATTAGAGAGCACATGTGGTGTTTGTTTTTCCATTCTTGAGATACTTCACTTAGCATAAGGGTCTCCAGTTCCATCCAAATTGCTGCAAAAGACATTAATTCATTCCTTTTTTTTTTTTTTTTTTGAGATTGAATCTCACTCTGTTGCCCCGGCTAGAGTGCAGTGGCATCATCATAGCTTGCTGTAACCTCCACCTCCTGGACTCAAGTGATCCTCCTGCCTCAGTCTCCCAAGTAGCTGGGACTACAGGCACACGCCACCACACCCAACTAATTTTTCTATTTTTTGTAGAGATGGGGTCTCACTCTTGCTCAGTCTGATCTTGAACTCCTGAGCTCAAGCAATCCTCCTGCCTTGGCCACCCAGAGTGCTAGTATTATAGATGTAAGCCACCATGCCTGGCTAATTCATTCCTTTTTATGGCTAAGTAGTACTCCATGGTGTGTGTATATATACATACCTACATATATGTAGCACATTTTGTTATTTCACTTATGAATTGATGGGCACTTAGGTTAATTCCACGTCATTGTGATTGCAAATTGTGCAGCAATAAACATTTGAGTGCAGGTGTTTTTTTGATGAAAGGACTTCTTTTCCTTTGGGTAGATATCCAGTAGTGGGATTGCTGGATTGAATGGTAAGTTTACATTTATTTCTTTGAGGAATCTCCATACTGTTTTCCATAGAGACTGTGCTAATTTGCAGTCCCACCAATAGTGTGTAAGTGTCCCTTTCTCTCGTCATCCATGCCAGCATCTATTGTTTTTTGGCTTTTTAATAACAGCCATTCTGACAAGGGTAAGGTGAAAATGTGGGAAAAACTCTTCTAAACATCAGCTTAGGCAAAGAATTTATGACTAAGACCCCAAAGGCAATTACAGCAACAACAAAAATTAATAAATGGGACTCGGTTAAATTAAAAAGCTTCTGCACACCAAAGGAAATAGTCAACAGAACAAATAGACAGCCTACAGAATGGGAGAAAATATTTGCAAACTGTACATCCAATAAAGGGCTAATATCCAGAATCTACAAAGAACTCAAACAAATCAGCAGGAACAAAACAAACAATCCCATTAAAAAGTGGGCAAAAGATATGAACAAAAGCTTTTCAAAAGAAGATAGACAAATGGCCAATAAACATGAAAAAATGCTCAATGTCACTAATCATCAGGGAAATGCAAATTATAATAACCACAATGACTCAGTATTTATCTGTACTACGCCTCACTCCGTCCTTCTAATGCCTTACAAACTGCCTAAGCTCCTACAGCAACCCTGGAATCAGTCTTGATCCTATGGGGTTATAAGATGTCTTGGGCTTTGACACTAGTACCTCAGTATCAAGTCATCTTTGCTGCTGGTGTGCTGTTTATTTTTTTAAGAGACAGGGTCTCACTCTCACTGAGGCAGGAGTGCAGTATGTGATCACAGCTCACTGCAGCCTCAAACTCCTGGGCTCAATCCATCCTCCTGCCTCAGCTTCCCAAGAAACTACGCCTACAGACCTGTGCCACTGTGCCTGGATAATTTTTAAATTTTTTTGTGGAGTCAGGGTCTCTATCTTGCCCAGGCTGGTCTCAAACTTCTTGCCT